AGCTTAAAGGCAGCCTTGGGAAATGAAAATAGCAGGAAGATGCTCCATCTGTGTAAATTTGTCTAGTAACCCTGATGGTGGGAATGTGATCCAAACAGGAAAAGAGACTCTGCTACCCTGGATGTAAGAAAGACCAAGCCACAGTGGGTGGCTTTGCCAGCACTCAGATGAGGCACACTGAGCCTGATATTTTTTGGGAAAAATCAGCTGCAGAATCACCCCATGGGAATGGGAACAGGAGGAAGGGCACAGGAATCAGTCTGATGCTTGTCCAGCACACCTTGCATTTTCAGCCTAATGCACTGCTGCCTTTGGAAAGCCTCTCCCAGCCCTCAAAACAGCAGTCTGTCTCCTCATGCCAGAAGGACTTTTTTTCCTACTAATTCACGTTCAACCAGGCTATTCTGGAACACCAGACAAGCAGAATAAACAGTCCCAGAGACAGAACCCAGCCTCGGCACTTGCCTGCACTCACACCTTTATCATGTGGTGCTCAGCCTGTCCCAGGGACCAGCCAGACCCAGGGAAGATGCAAAAACCAGGACCAAAACCAAGCTGGCCTCACAGAACACGTGCTGAGCTGCTTCTTAAACAGGGGGATGTGGACCACAGATGCAAAATCTCTATCATTGTTTGAACTTCTAATTGCAGGGTTTTGAGGGGAATTGCTGTTAGAGACATGGTGTAAATGCCCTCTGCCCTTCCACTCTTTCTTTGAAGCTCTCAGATATCCAAAACAAGCTGCTGGCAACTTAGAAAAAACTAATTGGTGGAAGTCACACTGAAAATATGTTGCAGGGCACAGCATCCCCACCTCAGTATCCTTAATTACAGAATCACTCTGCTTCTCTGGCCAGGAGGTGCTGATTTTAGCACCCATTTAGCACCATTCCTGGCTCATCCCTCACAGCAGTGCAGGTAACACTGGAAAGTGATGCCTGCCTAAGGCTGACTGACATTTCCCATTACAAGAACCTACCTTCCAATGCAAGTGAAAGTTTGTTTGGCTTGTACTGAGGGTGAAATTTTCTATGACAGTTGTTCTTTCATTACAAGACTTTCCCTCCCGAGTCCCAGCATCTGCAAACAAACAGGCAAAGGCATAAAACCTTAAAAAAGGTTTGACCTTTCAGCCACAAGTTTTCTGGCTTTGGTTAGCTGCAGCTATTGCTTTAATCACATCTTATTATTTCATGCTCTGTGTGCTATGTGCCAGATTTTACTTTTAAGGAAGAAATGCTGGCATATGCTGTTGCCTAATCGATGTGTGGGGGAAAGCAGTCATTAGGGAAAGCCTACAGAACAGGGTATTTTTAACATGAACTTCTGTGTTGTGGGAAAACACATGCCCCACACAAAATCACCAATGCTCAGTAATGGAATAGCCACATTTACACAGGATGCACACTGCCTGTCTTATAGCAGTTTTAACAACATGTGTCCTGATACATCCAGCACACCAAAGCACCTTAAACTCCTGGGGGAAAATCCCCCGTGGTGTAAACAGCCCTGGCTCCATTCACTTCACTGAGCCAGCTCAGGGCTTGCTGCAGCACCTGTGGCAGGAGCTCAGCTCTCCCTGGCTGCTTTGGGCTGCAGGACTGGGTAGGTCGCTGGCATGAATCAGCACCTCGCACCAGCAGCCGAGTGGGAGGGAAAATAAAAACGCAGTCGGAGTGAGCAGCAGAGAGGCCATTGATACCAAACGTCCTGGAGCAGCTCCCAGGCAGGGAATGCCTGAACAGCAGCAGCACCCAGCAAGGATGGCACAAGAGCTTGGATCAGGCATTCACGGCAGGGAGTAGAGGCAAACTCAGCCTGCCAGAGCTGGTCCTGGCTGAGCCCCCCCTGGCTGGGGCCACTCCAGTGGCTGCAGGGCATGGGCAGAGCTCAGTGCCCCAACACCCACCCCAAAGCACACACACCTCTAACAGACCCTGGCTGGGATGTGGATCTGGGCTGGGCAGCAGGGAAACCCTTGGGCCAAGGCAAATCCTCACCATGCCCTGTGCTCCTCCTACTTGGCAATGGGGGATCAGTTTTGTCCTTGCTTGTCCTACCATATAGGACTGATTCCCCATCTTTTACTTCACTTACACACTTTGCTTAGGGTCTTGTGGGATCTGGCATATCCAGAGCCCTGAAAGCTGGTGTAGGTTTTCAGGGGTTGCTCTAAGTCAGGCTCAGAGAGCTGCTCCTTGGCTGTGAGCCTTGAACAAACAGAAGGAAAAAAATCCCTCGGATTTGTTCTGCAGTGTGAGCCCCCAAATGCCTTTGCTAAAGCAGCCTCCACACACACACAGGGGGATGAACAGAGGTGCCAGCAGCTGACTTTGCCAGCACAGGTGAGAACTCCAGTGCTGGGGAGGCCACCAAGCTGGGGAGAGAGGGAAAGCTGAAACCACACAAGCGTCAAAACTAAGTCAAGTGCAATCCAGGGAGAGAGGAAGGCACTTCACCTCCCAGGAATAAACTCAGTTTCTCAGATTAGTGCACAGGCTGGGGGGAAATGGGCAGAACATGGGACATTTCTCTGAGGGCTTCATACCACTCCTGGTACTTGCCATAAAAAAGAATGGTTTTTTATCTTGAGGAAGCCATGGATAGTCATAGCCACGGCCCACTGGAAGTGAGCAGTGCACAGAGCTGCAGCATTCCTGATTCTGAGGGGTGCAAACTTCTCAAAAGACTGCATGTTTCAGCAGCACAGAGATTACCATGCCCTCTGCAAGATGCCAGACAAGATTTGTAGATATGAGTCATAATCCAAATTTTTCAGCTGCATCCAGTCTGTTCTGCCTACGTTGCTCCTTAAAATTGAACAGTTGCATGCTCTCCTTTGCCAGTATCTCTCTTCATGCTCTTCCAGCAGCCACCTTTTCTCTATTTTGTCACTCTGAGCTTCTTTGCCCTTCCATCACAACCCAGTAGGGATGTCTCAAACATCAGTAGCAGCAGGTCTCTCTTGAAGAGCAGGAACTTCCTATTTTTCTGCAAGCTTTCTTTGTGGAAATTGATTGTCTTTGGCTTTTTTTTTTTAATTATTTTTTTTAAAGTTTGAATAAGAAACCAGATGGTTTTCAAGCACTGACCGATTCATCAACAAACCAATCACAGCAATTGAAGGGATTCAGATGCAGGCCTCTGATTTCTCCATCTCTCTCTTCATGGGAGTTTACTTCCCTTAAAATGGCAGTTAAGAGGTTTTGCACAGCAGCTAATTTAACTGTGTGGAACAGCATAAACACTGGCAAAGATTAAAAGCAACAACATGTGATTCACAATGAAGACTTTCCTTGTTCCCTGTACATCCTCAGCAGTATCTCCCTACATCTGTCAAACCTGTGCCCTTGTGGCTGTGGCAGATCTGTGGGGTTAAGCAGAGTGAGCTGGCAGAGGGGCCATGATGTTACTGTCATTACTGACAGCACACTCAGGAGCATGCTTGCTTTTTCCAGCTGTATCTGTGGCTAAACTAGCTGATATTACCATTCTCTATAGTTTTTGCCAGCAGGATGCTTTCATCTGGATTTTGATACACAAGCACCTGTGGGTTTGTTTGCTGCTACAGAAATGATGCTGCATCCCCACCTCTTTTTTTCCCCTTAGCACCATTAACTTGAGTAATGCTGGGGGAGCTGCTGAAGGTCTGCTCCAATATTCTGTGTGCCCTCCAGCACATATACAAAACCTCTGCCATAAAGCAAGCAAGTAACACACAGAGCAGGACCACCACAAAGCTAAATGTGTTGGTTCCATGATGACTCAGGGACAGGAAACTAAACCCAGGCACTTCCAATATAAATCTATTTGCAAAGAGAAATTAAACCCAGTCCTAAGACTTTGGCCATAACTTGCAGCCAGCTGGGCCCCCTCCTGCTCTGACTGAAGGCAGCAGCCAAATTTCCATTGCCTTTGCTGGAAACACCTGCAGAGCACAGCAGCTGTGCCAATCTGCCAGGGGCAGCAAGGCAGGAATAGCAGCCCCATGTGGGACTGCAGCAGGGAATGTGACATGCAGGAACACAAACACCCACTCTGAGATCTGGCCACTGTGGACAGGGAGTGGGTGAGAGGTTTGCAGCTGGGCTGGCAAACACAGGACACCAAATACCAAAACTGGTGTGAGCCCTGTGGCTGTACTGGAGCAACCACACTGATGGTGACCTTTGAGACCCCAACCACCCTTTCTTTCCTTCTCCCTTGCCCATCTGCTGTCATCTTTAACACATCCCTTCCTCTGGCACTCTGTGCTTCCTTGCTCACACCCACGCTGCAGAATGGCCTCCCCAGCCAGCCAACAACATCACTACAGCAAACTGCTCTTCAGTCCACAGGCCAGTGGGTGGAAAACATGCACAAAGACATTTATCTGCCTGGCAGAGGTAGTAAAGCAACAAAGAAGCCACCGAGCTGGGAGGCTTCTGAGAGAGAAACCTTAAGTGTCTGTGTGGGCTCATTGCTCTATTGCTGACTGACATCAGCCTCTTTGGGCTCAGAGAGATCCATTTCATTTTAAAGGGAACTTTCCCCCAGGGATCTCATTAGCACCACCATGAAACACAGAAAGGAACTGAAGGTTGTTGGGGGAGGTAATGGTGAGGAGGTAAATAGGACAGAAGCACTGTCAGAGAGCATACCCAGAGCTGTATTTGCTCTTTCTCATGCACACACACACTTTTTCTGTCAGAAAAACTCACTTGGCATTGCAGTAATGAACTGTGGGGTTATATGTCTGTAGGTAAAAACACAGAGCTAACAGGCACCCTGTGGAGACAAATATTCAAACAAAATCTTAACTTTCCCTCTGCAGGGCTGGAGCACGCCATGCCAAGGTCATTCAAACATTCTGTTCTAGCCAACAGCACTGGACAGCAATGCCCACCCAGGGGCTTAATTTGGGCTGGACCACTGTTACCCTGGGGTAAGGATGCAGGCCAGTTTAAAAGCCTGGTAGGTATAAATTATCATGTTTGATGTCCCAGCAACAAACACTGCATCAGTCAACACATCCCAGGCAGTTGCACAGGTGCTCCTAAAGCAGTGATGCCCTCAGAGACCAAGGTGTGAGTGAACCCCTCCATGGAGCAGCTGGTGCTGAAGGTGGTGCTTGGAGAACAATGTCTGTCCAAGAAATTTCACCTCTCTCTGGAGTGAAAGCAAAGCCTCCATGACACAAACAAAGCAGTGTCTTGCTCACTTCTCGTGTGACACATCAGGGCTACGTTCTGCCTGTGTTTGTTCCAAGAGGAACTGCAAGACATCATCTGAGAGTCCGGGTGTCCTCCTCCTGTTTTCCAACAAGACTTCTCCTTCAGCTGGCTTTGAGAAGCAAGCAGAAGAGGGGTGGTTTGGAAAGATCTTACATCCATCTCTGTTCAAGACCAGCTGTGCCATTTGCAGGCAACGTGACACATATTTTGTCCCATCTTTTTGCTCCAGCTCTGACATCTTCTGTGACAGACACCGTGAGGCAGCCTCGTAGGTCGGGTCCTCTCTCTCTGGCTGCTGTCTGCAATACATTTTGTAGAAGCCATCCAGAGAGTCCCTGATGCTGGGATCTTCTGCACCACCATGCTCATGAATCCATGAGAGCACATCATTAGGTTCAGAGGGCTCACACAGCCCTGCTTTTAGGTAACAGCTCACGTTTGCTTCCTGAGGGCCTTCAGCAGAACAGGCTGCAGGAGCTGCAGATGATGGACTGCTCTCTCCTGCAAGCAGAGGATCAATGAAACTCATTAGTCACCAGGTCATCCCTGTGGCAAAGTCTTTTTCTGTCCCCCTCCCACTGCAGTCTGGCACACAGGCTCTTTGCATGAGCAAAGCAAGTGCTGCTCTGAACACAGCTGGGCTGCCCCAGGGCCTTCCTGCACAGGTTGGTGTAAGATGGGCTGATCTGGGCACCTCACAGTTGTCCCAGCCTTGACACTGCAGTGACTGGACCTACTTGGTGGTACAGATCTCCTGGCTCCTCTCAGTTACACTTCCAAAGAGGTGGAAATTGGGCTCTGCTGCTCCTGGAGATGACAGCTGACCCACAAGGAAGTCTGGTTTGCAGCTGAGACACTTCTGCATCTGTTTCAGTTTTTTCCCTCGTCCCTGGGTCTAATCCTTACTTTTAATAGCTCTCAACTTTACTCCAGCACAATGTGCAGTCCTGACCTCCAGCTTTCAGCCAGATTCACAGCCTCCAAACCAACACTGTTCTGGTGACTGCATGGAGTTTCACAATGAGGACTGCAAAGGGAGACTCTGTGCTTCCCCATGAAATCCCACTTTTACAGCCCCGCTGCACTAAATGCTCTCCCTGCACTCTGATGGAATTTTTATGGATAAAATCAATGCAAAGGCCAAGGACTTGTTCTTGCCTCGCTCTTCTCCTCCTTCCTTGCTGACCCACATCTCTGGATTACCGGGCTGTGGTTTTCTCTTGCTTCACAGCAATCAAGGGGGATGCCTTGCACTAATTAACACAGCACAACAGGGACACTCGGCAGTGACAAGACCAGGACAATCAGCCAGCTTCTAGGAGGAAGAAATTCCACAAAGAGACCTTGAATTGGGCTCTGGTAGCCAGGCAGTGCCTCTGACTGCAATCTCATCTCCAAGCCCACTGCACCAGACCGTTTGCCAAGCACCTGAGTCACCGACAAGGAAATTTTCCAGGGCTCAGCCAGAGGTTGCACAGCCGTCATCTGCAAGTTACATAAGCAGGATGCAGGCAGTCAGAAAATAGCTTGGTCTTTTCTAATTCTGTGAGATGTGAAGCAGAGTGCAGTCCTTCATTCTGGTAGGAGACCATGTTCAAAGGGAGTCTCAGTGTGGTGGCAGAAGGCTGTTTTTCTCTCCTGGTACAGAGAGCCACCCTTCCCTTCCTAAGCAGGGGTTCATTAACGTGAAATTAAGCTGTCTGTGCAGACACACTGTACCTCATCTCTTTCTTCCTGTCCCTACTTCCCATCTTTGATCTTTCTTCCCAATTGCACTTCATCTCTGATTATGCAATTTTAAATAGAACTTTCCCTCCCCTTGCAGTGTCACTTCCAATGCAGTACAAAGAAAAGCTTGGTGGCCTTCTTTTAGCAGTGAGCTCTGGCATCAGCATAGCAGAGCAGAGAATGGGTCCATTTTTCCTCAGTAACCCCTCAGCCCATGCTAGCTTAGAAATGAAGCCTCTTGCATCTCTGATAATTCAATCAAGAGGGAACTGGACTCCAGTGCCACTGGACTGTGGCAATTGCAGACCCCTGGGCTGTGCTGGCCTTTTGCTACATCCTGCTCACAGCCACATTTTGTGACAGAGCAGCAGCTGCCTCCACTACACACACAGAGCCTGCCTGACTCGGGAAAAGCAAAATTCTGTTGGTTTCATCTTGTCAGGGGAGACTTCAGCAATGCTGCTTTGCCTTTCTCCTACCATCTAAGTTTGGGTATTAGGAAAGATAACTTCACAGAAAGGGTTGCCAGGCACTGGAACAGGCTGCCCAGGGAAGGGGCTGAGTCACCAACTCTGGAGGTGTTTAAACAACATGCAGATGTGGCACTTGGGGACATGGTTCAGTGGTGGACTTGGCAGTGTGAGGTTTATGGTTAGACTCAATGATTTTAAAGGTCTTTTCCAACTTCAGAGATTTACTGCTTTTTATTTCACACTCAGTATGGCCCACAAAGCTGACATCCTTATGCTGAAGCACAACCCACCACAGAAGTGACCAGCAAGTGTCTCAGGGGTATATCCTGGGGTGTGATTAGTCAGAACATATTTCATCATTATTATTATTATTGTGAGAACAGTTTTCTTTCAGTTACTCCTTCAGATTTATGCATCTCTATTTCCCAACAGCAGGCCCTATCCTCCTAGTGGATTACTTTTCCAGCAAAGCCTTCTTAAGGCAAGATAGCCAACAGGGCTGGATGTCCCAGCCCTGGAGTGTTCAAAGCCAGGCTGGATAAGGCCTTGAGCAGCCTGACCTAGGGGGAGGTGTCCCTGTCCATGGCAGGGGTTGGGACTATATGGTTTTTAAGGTCCATTCCAACCCCTCAGCATTCTATGATTCTATGACATGAGAAGTTGGATGCAGAATTCCCAGAACCAATCTATACCTCACAAAGTGCTGCCTTTCCTCAGCTTTCCTGACAATTTCCCAATACATTCTCAAACTGTGTGCCAAGACTGATGTTTGAGAATACACCCCAACCTTTTCCTGCCTATAAGTTACCAGTTAAGGTAGAGATCCTTCCTTGATAACCTCTAAAGAGCTGGTGCTGCTGTTGAAAGGTGCAAATCTCCTGAATGATTTATAAACCACAGGCAACAAGCACAGCAGCAGGATGCCTGCAGGGTCCAGAAAGAGTTTCTCAGCTGGAGCACACACAGAGCACCCAAGCACAGGTTGTAGGCCAGCAAACGTGCTGCTAAAGGCAAAGACAGCATTCAACTCATCAATCCCTTTGCCTCTCCATGCACGTGCATCCCTCAGAAAATCTGAGATTCTCTCATAACACACAGCAGTGCTGCTTCAAAGCCCAGACCTTTCTGGTCACCTCTCAGCAGCAGGAAAATGTAGTTTTATAAATGCCTTTGTAAAATCCTTCCATGGTAAACTTAACAACACAGCTGTCACACACCCTTGTGTTGGCTTGACCCAACACCTACAGGGGTCAAGGCAAAGATGAGCAAGGCTGAAAACTCTCACTTCTCTGCCTGCAATAGGATTTCATCATCAGAGAATCTGGCTCATTATTTTTAGCTATTTTCACTCATTTTTACTACCAAGTATTAAAGGGGGAAAAAAAGCACCAATAGAAAAGCCCAAAAAACTGAAACAGTCATTATTAATGTCTATTTCATTCTCACATGATGGATAATCATGAGTAAAAATGTATATTATTTCATCTGTTCCTCCACTCCATGCTAATTGAAGTTCAGCATTTGCAACTAATTAGTAAAAGAGCTGGGGGCAGATAAAAGGATAGATATTCTTGTGTTTATAAACCTGCTGATGAAAATTTAAAAGCTCCATCTGGTACAAGCACATAACCCTACTGCCTGAAGCACAAAACCAAATCCTGCTTTGAACCTGGGCCACTTTCATTGAGGCAACAATGCAGCAATAATTAGTTGCACTTACAGAAAATGTAGCTGTTTGAGTTTCTGTATAACTCTGTTCAAGCACAGTGAAGCTCTCACAGATTGCTTTATTTCTCTTATCCCACCAGCCTGGCAGGATCTACCTGGGGTGACTGCAATCATGCACAGGAAAGGGTCTGTGGTTGCCATGAAGTGCAGTAACAACAGAAAAGTAAACACAGATGCCGTCCCTGAGAGTTTCTCCAGCTCTCACCCTGCTCTTAGAAAATCCCTCCTTGTCCCTCCATCAGACATGTCCACATGGCATGGGAAAGCTCAAGGAGAGGTGATCCTACTTGGACTAGAGCAGAGCTGCCAGCTGACCCAAACCTGTGCCTGTTCAGCGCTGCATCCATCTGCACAGGGGCTGAGAACAGGTCCCATGCTGCAGCTGAGCTCCCTACAGGTATGGAGCACTTGACACCTGATGCATAGAAAAGCATCTTTTTGCTTTTTTTTTCTTTCCACCTGGCTCCTTTCCAGTGGGAGTGCATGTATCACCATGGGAGTGCAATTCCTCTCTGCTCAGGGAAGAAAGAAGAAATTTTAGGAGAATTTGGCAGGAGCTCTTTCTACCCCAATCTCACAAAGCACTTTAGCCTGCCAGTAATCACACACCTGAGTACTCAGAAATTGCAAATCTAGACATTTGAGGACCAAATTCTATTGCTCTTGCTTGCATTAAGAACATTTCCTCTGATTACAACAGTTAAATGTGTGAGCTGCTGATCCCATTCCTTTACATGAGCTGAAATATATTTGCACTATAGGATTTTTATTACCACATTTAAATCGGAATAGCACCAAAAAGACAAGTACCAAGGAAATAAGTATAAATACTGCATAAACACTTATCACATTGAGTAAATGACAGATCCTAAAGCCTTTTGGTGTACAGTACTGAATAATTGTAGAGATTACAATATCTCTGCCTTGCAGAAAACAGCTGTTGACTTCTTGGGCAAAGGGAAAATGACATTTCTGATGACATTATCATTCAAAAAGACTGTTAAAAGCAAAGTAAATTTGTTCCTTGTGGGTATTTAAATTGTGAACTGAAAGTGAAAATAAGAATATAATAAGCCTTGCTACTTTGCTGTCTCCCTGGTGCCACACAAACCAGCTTTCTCCCTTTGTCATCTACAGTAGGCTGCAGCTCACAAGATGGGATCTGTGAGACTCTGCTTTACACATGACATAACCAGCTATATTCTTCATCTTCCAGCCCACAAGAGTGGCACATGTGGCTGTGTCTGACTCTGAGTGCTGGCCAAGAGCTCTGCTAATGCCAGCTGCTCTGACAGGAGACTTGGAGAAAGTGAAGGTGGACAAAAGGCAGGAAAATGGGAGGAATTTGGGGATTGGGGCAGAAAAGGGAGACAGTGACAGAGGAATAGCAGTGGCTATGGCCCAGTACTGAGGCAGGCTCTCTGCTTTTTTTCTTCTTTCTGCTGCACATTTGTGGTGTGAAAAGTTGGGGGGGGATTCAATTTGCGTGGAACGAGACGTAAGCGGTTATTTTAGGGAAGCACAAAAACTCTTCCCTTTCAGTCTAACCCCCTTAGGAATCTGAAATTCAAG